TGGAATCCTTCTCACACTTTCAATCTCTTTCTTCTGGAAGAACCTGGTCCCTGTTAAGGACTTATCTGGTTAGGTCAGATCCACCCAGGAAAATCTCTTTTTTTTGTTTTTGCAGTACGCGGGCCTCTCACTGTTGTGGCCTCTCCCATTGCGGAGCACAGGCTCCGGATGCGCAGGCTCAGCGGCCATGGCTCACGGGCCCAGCCGCTCCACAGCATGGGGGATTCTCCAGGACCGGGGCACGAACCCGTGTCCCCTGCATTGGCAGGCGGATTCTCAACCACTGCGCCACCAAGGAAGCCCAATCTCTCTTTTTTTAAAGTCAACTTTGTCATATAATTGAAGGGAAGGGTTTATATAAGGGCATGGATCATTGGGAGTCATCTTAGAATTCACCCTACAAAGATATGTACACGTGTAAAACTCCACTGTACTGTATGCTTATGATCTGTGTGCTCTATTGCATATGAGATAAATTTCAATAAACAGAGAAAATAGTAAAAAGCTATAAAGATGTTGATATTTATTCTACTGCTATTAAATCTAGTCCTATCGTAAACTTTCAGTAAAATCCCCCAAAAATATGAGCGCTAGTTTAGTTGCTGATGAGGTTAGAAGCCATCAAGGTCCCACACCATTAGGCTATAATGGTCTGAGAACCACCGTGCAGATGCTTATGAAAATTCAGTAGTAATTCTGACACTGGAAAAGCCTGTCAGAAACCAGATGCTTGCCCTTGATAAGATAGTCTAGTCTAATTGAAAGCTGTGTTTCTTTGCTTTTGACTGGAATTATGTGTGCATGGGGGTAGCACTGGCAACCTCAAGCAATCCACCAGACTCTAAACATGCACCTGAGAAGAGTACCTTGTATGAAAATCAATTAACTAATATATAAATTATGAAGTGTCACAGGGAAAATAAAACCTTCAAAATATAGGATTCATAAGTGAAATAATATAAGTGTAAATATTATGAACACTTCCAAGGCCTGGGCAAAGAAAATATAAGATGGACCTGAAATATCCTGTGGTACCGTAAAGTAAGGAAGTGCTCAAAAAAAATAAGTTAATTAGGGCTTCCCTGGTGGCGCAGTGGTTGAGAGTCCGCCTGCCGATGCAGGGGACACGGGTTCGTGCCCTGGTCCGGGAAGATCCCACATGCTGCGGAGAGGCTGGGCCCGTGAGACATGGCTCCTGAGCCTGCGCGTCCGGAGCCTGTGCTCCGCAACGGGAGAGGCCACAGCAGTAAGAGGCCCGCGTACCGCAAAAAAAAAAAATAAATAAAGTTAATTAATTAAAAGAATGAGAGCATGTCATGGGGCAGGGGAAGGGTGAGCTGTGACAAAGCGAGAGAGAGGCATGGACATATATACAAAACCAAACGTAAAATAGATAGCTAGTGGGAAGCAGCCACATAGCACAGGGAGATCAGCTCGGTGCTTTGTGACCACCTAGAGGGGTGGGATAGGGAGGGTGGGAGGGAGGGAGATGCAAGAGGGAAGAGATATGGGAACATATGTATATGTATAACTGATTCACTTTGTTATAAAGCAGAAACTAACACACCATTGTAAAGCAATTATACCCCAATAAAGATGTAAAAAATAAAATAAAATGGAAATAACAACCCCTGTCCTACCTATCACATTGATAATAAAATTATAAGTGATAGATAAATGTAAGTTATTTGCATTGAATTAAAACATACGTGAATGAAAAAAAAAAAAAAGAATGAGAGCATATTAAAAGGGCACAGAAGCCAAACTAAAAAAGTTCTAAACTACCAAAAGTGGAACAATTTGAACAACTGAATTGGATTATAATCCAAAGAATGAAATAGTCAGGAGTCTATACTGATAAAATTAAATTAATGGTGAAGAAGGGACAACTCTTCCTTACAGAAAAATTTCAATTAATAAATGTCTTAAAAATGAGAGATAGAGCAAGTCACCATTAGGACACCACAGAAATAACTGCTGCAGGGAAGATCGAATGATGAATGCTAAAGTTAGTAGATGAAAGTTTAAGCAGAAACAGAATGTTTACATAGTCTCTGTATTAGTTTCCTGTAGCTGCTATAACAAATTACCACAAATTTAGTGGCTTAAAACAACGCAACTTTATTCTCTTACAGTTCTGAGGCCAGGAGTCCAAAATCAGTATCGTTGGGCCAACACCAAGGTGTTAGCAGAGTCACGCTCTCTCTGGAGGATCTAGGGAAGAATTTGTTCCCTTGCCTTTTCTAGAGCTATATTCTTTGGCTCATGGCCCCTTTCTCCATTTCTAAAGCCAATGTCATGGCATCTTCAAATCTCTCTCTGCTTCCATCTTCACATGGCTTTCTGTCTTCTGTCCCTCTGCCTCCCTCCTAAAGGGACACTTGTGATTGCATTTAGTGCCCACTCAGATAATCCAGATAATCTCCCCCCAGCTCAAAACTCTTAACTTAATCACATCTGTAAAGTTTCTTTTGCCATATACGGTAACATTCACAAATTCAAGGGATTAGGACCTGGATATATTTAGGGGCCATTATTCAGCCTACCACAGTCTCAAAGTACCTCCCCAGAATATTCAGTAAATACAAAGATAAAAATAATTAGTTTAGGGAATTCCCTGGCAGTCCAGTGGTTAGGACTCCGTGCTATCACTGCTGAGGGCTTGGGTTCGATCCCTCATCAGGGAGCTAAGATCCCACAAGCCGAGAGGCACAGCCAAAAAAAAAAAAAAAAGGGGAAAGAAAGAAAAATAATTAGTTTACAGTGGAAAACCGGGGTAGACACCCCTTTAACCAAGTGATCAAGGTTAACACTGTTAGCAATACATATCAATATCATGTACCCCCTCAAAAGGATACAACATCACTTCTGTGATGCATTTCTGAAAATGCATAACCTCATTCCAATCAAAAGAAAACACTAGACAAACCCAAGTTTAGAGAGATTCTAAAAACTATCTGACCAATGCTCTTCAAAAGTGTCAAAGTCATGGAAGACAATAAGAGCCTGAGGATCTGTCACAGAGGAAAGACTAAGGAAACGTGCAACTAAATGCAATGTGAGATCTGCACTGGATTCTGGAACAAAAAAGGACATTAGTGGAAAAACTGATGAAATCCAAATAAACTCTATAGTTTAGTTAATAACATTATATGGATGTTAAAGTCTTGGTTTTAATAAGCGTTCTGTGATTTCTTAAAGAACTTAGCATAAGGGGGGACTTTCCTGGTGGTCCAGTGGTTAAGACTCCACACTCCCAGTGCAGAGGGCCTGGGTTCGATCCCTGGTCAGGAACTAAGATCCCACATACCTCAACTAGAGAGCCCACATGCCACAGTGAAGACCCAGCACAGCCAATCAATCAATCAATTAATCAGAAATTAGCATAAGCGAAACTTGGTGAAGGCTATACGGGAACTTTGTACTATTTCCACAACTCTTCCTTAAGTCTAAAATTATCTGAAAACAAAAGATTTTAAAAAGAGAACAACGGGAATGAAGGAATTAAGAGAGGAAGGCAGGGAGAGAGGGAAGAAGGAAGGAATTAAAGAAGGAAGAATGTGAGCCCTTCGTTTAGCATCTTTGAGTGCCCCCTGCTGGTCACTAAGGTGAATTTAGGTGAAGTTCCCCCAAGCCCGACTTCGTTGATTTATAAAGTAATTGTCCTTTTCTTTTCTTTCCAATTACTTACCTGCTCCGAGACAGTTTTATCAAAGCCAGGCTACCCTGCTCCTACTGATCCATGGTTTCTTTCTTCCTCTAAAATCCATCAAAAGCCCCACTAGTTACTGAATCTTTCTTCTCTCTAAACAGAATGTACATCACAAACCCACAACCACTTCCTGGCTGAATCCCAAGACCTGTCAGGTGCAAGTAAACCACCCAAAGCTCCTCCCCCTGGACATCCAGAGACATCACAAGGTGGGTGAGCCAGACAACCAGGGCTGTGGAAGAGGGGGATAGATCTGGTAGTGGGACAGGGCCTCCGGAGGTGTCAGATGTGAGCATATGAGGGGTTCAGCACTACTGGGTGATCCCATGTTTACTGATATCTCGGCTGTGGGGTTGAGGGCCAGGCAGATAAAAGGTAAGCAATTTCTATTAACAATGTTTAGCAATATGTACCCTCTAAAATTAGTAACTCACTGGGTTCAAGTAAATCAAATACAGCTCTTTACTAGGAAAAGACTGGGATTTCTTGTGGCACATGACAGTGAACACCAGAGATACAGACTGACAATGTCCTGCCTGCATCTGGGCCTCAAATTTTATTTAGCCCACACAATAGTTTTAAAGTTTTTAACTGCATGCCAATGTTTTGAAATCTGGAGATATTAACATTCAAAAATTGATTTCTGGTTTTTCATGGAAAAAAATCTATAGATCTGGCTGTGCTGGGTCTACATTTTTGCATAGCAACAATGTGTAGGAACTGAGGGGATGCCCCCTTTAGATGGTCCTTGCTCTGCAGTTCCTTACCCACCACTTACACAAGGCATGCATATGGTCAATACCCACACTGGTAGGTTCATATGTGTTATATACCTCACCCCTGTGGCGTTGGTGTTTGCACTTTCTGCTCTGTAGGATACTACATACATGCTTTCAACAGCTAAAAGGACCTCATCTGCGATCTGCACTTGATCTTCGCCAAAAGGCCAAGGAGTGATCACCTTCCATCTGCATAACCTCCTTAATAATGTTCATCCTTTCTTTCTACAAGTCACTATAGCTCATTATACCTATTCTGCAAAATCAAAACACATACATTTAGAAATTTACTCTTCTAAATTTCATTCTTTTACTCTTAATAATATCCTATACCAATGGATCAGAATCACCCGGAACATTTGTTAAAACACAGTTAAAACTGTGCCCAGCAGTAACCAGGGCATATTAAAAAGGAAAAAAAAAAAGGGCTTTGTAACATCAGTGTACCTACAGAGCCTCAACACACTTAGCAGGAAAAACAACAAATCATCATGCTCATTCCTTTTTACCTTTTATACTGCTGGGAATCACAGTCACCCAATCAGGTCCACTGGAGTTGATTGGCATTTTGATATTGACACCACTTGAAAGAGGAATAAAAAGAGTACAAGCTTAGATTCAGGAACATTTATTTTCTAATATGTATCTTTATTTTCAAATTTTTAAATGGACAGGATTTCACACAGCTTTACTAAGATGAAATATTCTTATAAATGTTAATCAATAAAATTGATAGTTAATAAACTAGGTATATAATAAGCAGGTTATATGGATACATAAACTGAATAAGAATTAAACAAGTTTTTAGTTTTTCACTGCTTCGCCCTTAGAGTGCAAACTCCAAAATGACAAATTCTGTTTGAATTACTTACTTCCCTTGGACTCAGAGAATGGCTCACACTGATGAGAATGTCTATTTTGTCACTACTTAGTTTTCAGGCTGCAAAACTACGGAGCATTAAGTCATACGTCAGATTCCTTAGGCCTTGCCCAGAGCTGAGTCCTACCTGGGGACATGTGTCCCCAGATACATGCTCATGCATGTACTCTGTTCATCATTACTATGGCTCTGTAGTGTCTGTTCCCCTTAATAAAACATGTACTCCTCAAAGACATGGATTATGTTCCATTCATCTTTCATCTTCAGTACTTAGCACAGGCCCTGGACTAGAGTCCATGCTCAGAAAATACCTGATAGAGGGCTGTGTGAAAAGGTGGGGGACAGTGGAGTCCAGGAGAAGTATACTGAAAACATGGTGTAATTATTCCAGAAACTGGTTCATAATAATTAGGCCTCTTGCACTTAGACCAAAAACAAACAAAAAAATAAAATGCTAACTTTCCAAACTCGATATGGGAACTTGCAGTCACGATATTTCATTTCATCAAAAATCAATTCAAAACAGATTTGTTCTTAAATAATTCTTAAGCTTCTACTATGTGCCAGGCACTATCCTAGCTACTAGGAATATAACAGTAAACAAAACACACAGCATTGGGAATTCCCTGTAGGTCCAGTGGTTAGGAGTCTAGGCTTTCACTGCCGAGGGCCCAGGTTCGATCCCTGGTTGGGGAACTAAGATCCCACAAGCCAAGTGGCACAGCCAAACAAAAAAAAAAAACCCAGCATCTCCTCCTTCATGGCACTGACATTCTAATGAATGAGGGAGACAGACAACAAGGAAGGAAGGAATTATAGGGGGCTATGTTAGAGAATAACAGCATTTCATGGATTATAAAAGAGACAATATACATGACTTTAAAAGAGCACATATAAACTACTTTCATGAGTTTAAAGCTTTAAGGTAAGGAAAAGAAGAAAGCTTCACCATTGTAATTTGCTTGTAAAAATGTTTACTCTCAATCTAATCATGCAGAAACAATAAAGCAGCAAATCCAATTTAAGCAATATTCTACAAAAACAGCAACATCAAAATTGTCAATGTCGCAAAAACCAAAACAAGTTAGAGAACTCTTCTGGACTAAAAGACTAAAGAGACAACTAAACAGATTGTGTGTGATCAGAGATTCAGTTAAAATAAAAGAGATAGCAATAAAGGATATTATTGGGACAACTGGATAAACTTCAATATAGATTGCATATTAAATAACAACGTTGGGTCAATGATAAAAGGCCCAAGTGTGATCACTGTGTCATGGTTATACGTTGCAGAAAGTCCTAGGAGATGCATACGCCTGGATTGCAGTGCCATGATGTCTGCACCTTACTCCCAAATGGTCTGAGGGGAAAGAATTATACACAAATACACACATATAAACACACAGAAAGAGAGAAAGCAAATGCGGCCAAACATAACAATGGTGAGTCTAAGTTAAAGGTATATGGGTGCTCACTGTTGTTATTTCTGCAGGGTTTCTACAGATTTGAACTTTTTTAATACAAAGTTAGAAAGGAAAAAAAAGTATAAATCATGCTAAAATAAAAGGGAAGCTTTTAATGTGATAAGCTCATTCTTTCAAAAGACATTCTCTTATTATCAGAATCTTTTAAGCAAAGTACTATGGTTCTTTCTAAAACCAACACTTTTTTTTTCCCTTGAGATATTAGATCACCTTAATTGTCCAACTGTCATTTGGGAACCAAAGACCAAGGCTAAGCTTCTTAATCCTTTCTGAATTAAGCAACATTACGAGCCACCAAGGAAGAGAGGTAAAAATGAGCGTAGCTTAACATATTCAGGCCATGAGCTCAAAATACTACACTCAAAGATCTCTCAAATGATCAATTTCAATCTTTCTCTTTTTCTTTTCAGTTAGCCTAATGCAAAATTTCAGATTTTTAACAGAGCAAACAATGCAAAAAAAAATCTGTATCAGGACTCTGTCAAATGTTTGGTTTCCAAAAACTTATGCCACCTCAAACGCTTTCCCAGAAAACTTCCAGGTAAGTAGAATCTTTTTTAATGATTCTACTACAAAGTACCCTCAGCCAGCCTCATCCAGGATATGCAAGTAAAGGCAGAGGCAGACATTATTTTATCCTTCTGGATTCACAGGTGTTCTTTGGTTTTAATGGTAGGATTTAGTGTTAGGAACATTTTAAAGTTTACACTAACTTAATTCTCTAAACTTTTTCCCACTTTTTGCCACGTGGAATTTCAGTAAATTACATGCTATGCTTCCTCCTCTTTGCTAAGCCACTAAGTAGACTGACAACACAACTCTAAAAGGGAGTAAAACTTTAAAAAATGGTCCACATAAAAAAAAAAAACTTAAAAAAAAAATTATTTAAAATAAAATAAAAGGGGGTAACTGAACAGTCTTCATACATAGGCAAAAAGTACACAGAAATAAAATCATCTGCTCATAGTCATTGATAAATAATGTGTCTAAGATCTGAACCCAAGAATAAAACTAAAGTCCTTTTGTACTGAGCCACAAAAAACTAGGCAGTCCCCTCAAGAACAGTACAGTGAATACACTGGGAGTAGTGCCCCCTCTGCTGGCCTTCTGAAAGCATGGCATCAAATATGTACTTAAAACTGTTACGACCAAAAGCTGACTCAGGAAGTAAACAATCAGAGTTTTATTTTAGAAACTCCTACAGACCACACATCTTATGGTAGGAACTTTTCCCCCACCAAGTAATGAGTGGACATAAAACATTAAAAGTTTTAGAGCCCAGATATACTCAACAAAGAACCCTCTCTACAAGGGAAAATTTTTTATATAAATTTATTTTTTATTTTTATTTTATTTTTGGCTGCGTCAGGTCTTTGCTGCTGCGTGCGGGCTTTCTCTAGTTGCGGCAAGCGAGGGCTACTCTTTGTTGCAGTGCGCGGGCTTCTCTTTGTGGTGGCTTCTCTTGTGGAGCATGGGCTCTAGAGCACAGGCTCAGTAGTTGTGGCACACGGGCTTAGTTTCTCCGCGGCATGTGGGATCTTCCTGGACCAGGGCTCAAACCCGTGTCCCCTGCATTGGCAGGCAGATTCTTAACCACTGCGCCACCAGGGAAGCCCAATGGAATACTTTTAAAGTATAGAGTTCATTTAAAAATAAAAAATGTTTTACGTTCTCTCAAGTAATTGTACTTTCTATGTTATTTTTCTTTTTATTCCTTAAGAATGTTATTTTATTTCAGAACTACATGGAATGCAATAATTTCAACAACTATTAACCTTCAAAAATACAGTTTGCTGTGGTATTCCTGGCTTCCCATACTTATCATTAAATCAGTCCAGCAATGTTACCATATTCATAGTCTTTTTCCTATCAATAAATGTTTATATGATTTTAACAACTAATAATATGTCACTTAAAACTTTTTTCAGTTTATTAGACATGAAGCTAAAACACCACCCTAACTATAAGACCTCTAGCAGCCCTGTTCTTGGATGATTTTTTTTATCTGTTCTGTGAATAAGTGATCTTGCTTATACAGATATACTATGCAATTCTGAAGTTAAAGATATTAAGGTAAAAGAACAAAAATTTAAGGTCATTAATTTGAACTGAAATAAGCACACTAATTACAAAATATAAATATTTATTTTCTTACCACCTCTCCTGAATTGGGCCAAGTTCAGAAAGATATAAGAAGCACATAACCAAAAGAAGAAAGTCTCCTAAGTAGGACAAAGACAATGGAAAGAGACCTCTTAAATTACCCGCTAGAGCAAGGAGCACGTACCTCTGGAAGAAAGCATTCTCTGCAGCAGTTAGGAGGCCCTTCAGGTATCCGCCCTTGAAATGGTTAATTCTGCTACTGCAAGGGAGCTTCTTTGGTTTGAAGCAGAACCAGGGTTCTCCGGTATAGAGATCTGTAAAGTTGCACAGGGGAAGACTCCCAGGAAGACACACGTTACACTCTGTAGTTTCAGAAATTCTTCCTGAACGGAAGAGGCTCTTGAAATAGACCCTGTCTGGTTTCTCTTCCTGTAGATTCTGAAGAACTCTGATCCCTTCACTGGGGTGGACCAGAGATATGGACACTTTAACTCTGCCTGGCCAGAGCAGAGTAAAAAAGACCTTGTAAAACCCATTCTGGTAGTCCACCACTCTACCCACGGCCCCTGCCTGCAACTTAGGGGAGTGGATTCTGGCCTGCAGGTAGTCTCCACCATACTTCTTGGGCTTTCTTTGAAAATCCTGTACATGAACCAGCACCTCTAGCTGGCTTCCCACCTTGAAGAAGGTGGCAGAGTTCAAGATGACAAAATAGCTGGAAGAAGGGTCAGTGCTCTTCAAAAAGGGGACTGGGCCCACATCAGGCACCTGCCACTGTAAGGCGGCCAACAAGGAGTCCTCCTCCAGGCGCTCCCGGCTGGACAGAGTCTGGTGCTCATAGCCACAGTAAAGATTCCGGCTAATTCCTGTCACCTGGGAGAAAACAAACTGTCCACCACTGTCAATGAATGTGGCTGATGCAGTCTCATGGTCCAAGTACTGAAGAGAAAGACACAAACAACAGAAACCACAGTTACAATAAATCTCCTTATAGTCAACAAATAAATCCCTGCTTCAGCTTAAATTTTAATAAAACTTACTTGAGATGACATTGTTTCAAAAACCACAGCTCACCAGTTTTACAGATTCCCACAGCAAATATCAGAGAAAAATCCCTTTGGTGCTTCCAGAAGGAGAAAGGGAAAAGGAATCATTTTGAAGGACAGTAGTCCCCCTTTATCCACAGGAGATACTTCCAAGACCCCCAGTGATGCCTGAAACTGTGGGTCACATCAAACCCTATATATACTGCTTTTTCCTATACATATATACCTATGATGAAGTTTAATTTATAAATTAGGCACAGTAAGAAATTAACAATAATAATAAAATAGAACAATTATAATAATATACTAGAATAAAAGTTATGTGAATGAGGTCTCTCTCAAAATATCTTTTTTTTTTAATTTATTTGGCAGCACTGGGTCTTAGTTGTGGCATGCAGGGCCTTTGTTGCTGTGTGCGGGATCCTCATTGCCGTGTGCAGGATCTTTCAGTTGCAGCATGCAAACTCTTAGTTGCAGCATGTGAAGTCTTCGTTGCAGCATGCATGTGGGATCTAGCTCCCCAACCAGGGATCAAACCCGGGCCCCCTGCATTCGGAGCACAGAGTCTTAGCCACTGGACCACCAGGGAAGTCTCTCTCTCAAAATATCCTATTGGTGTACTGTCCTTCTTCTTCTTGTGATGATGTAAAAGGATAAAAGGCCTACGTGATGAGATGAAGTGAGGTGAATGATGTAGGCATTGTGACGTAGTGTTAGCTACTACTGACCTTCTGACAACACGTCAGAAGCAGGATCATCTGTGTCAGGTGATCGTGGATTGAGCTACAATGATGTCAGTGGTTGAAGATCCTGGGTGGGAAACAGCAGGATGGCACAAGATTTCATCACGCTACTCAGAACAATGCACAATTTCAAACTGGTAAGTTGTTTTTTTCTAGAATTTTCCGTTTAATATTTTCAGATCATGGTTGACCATGGGTAAATGACACCACAGAAAGCAAGACAGTGGATGGAGGGACTACTGAATACCAGAGTATTCCATTCTTCTTAACAAGGCCTGCCCTCAAGCCAAACTATTTTACCAGAGCCTAACCTACTGAGGTTTTACCAGAGCCTAACCAAACTGAGGTAAGGGACATACCCAACTCCAGCCCACTCTAACCATTCTATCCAATTTAAGGGTTGGGGGTAAGACTAAGAAACAATTCTGAAGTTCACAGACTCACTAAAGGACTGAGGATCATACGGCTATAAAATGTTTCACCTCCCCTACACCTCACCCCCACACCACTAAAAGTCTATTTATTGGAGTTCGTTTTACCCAGTACATCATGTCCAGCTTTCAACAAAAATTATAAGACATACTAAAAGGAAAAAAATACAGCAATTATCAAGGGACAGGAGGGAAGAATTAGGAATATTTTGTTATTAATAATGTACCTACACTACCCATGAAGCAGTATGGTATTATTTGATACTGGACTTGAGTTGCTTGTAAATGCATACTGAAAACTCTAGGGCAGCCACTTAAAGTAAAATGAGAAGTATAACTGATACACTAAGAAAGGAGACAAAATGGAATCTGTAAAATGTTCAATTAGGGACTTCCCTGGTGGTCCAGTGGTTAAGATTCTGCCTTCCAATGCAGGGGACACAGGTTCCATCCCTGGTCGGGGAACTAAGATCCCACATGCTGCGGGGCAACTAAGCCCACGGCCACAACTACTGAGCCCAAGCACCTCAACTAGAGAGCCCGCAGGCCACAACTACAGAGCCCACACACTCTGGACCCTGCGCACCACAACTAGAGAGAAGCCCGTGCACCACAACTAGAGAGAAGCCCGCACACACGCCACAAGAGAGTAGCCCGCACGCCACAACTAGAGAGTAGCCCTCGTGCTGCAAGAAGAGCCTGCGTGCAGCAACGAAATATCCCTCATGCCACAACTAAGACCCCATGCAACCAAAAATAAAAATAAATAAATAAAATAAATATTTTTTTAAATGCTCAATTAAAACCACAAGAGTCAGAAAAAGAGCAGAAGACAAAAATAGGAACGAAGAACAAGGACAATGAATAGAAAACAGTAACAACTATGGTAGATATTAATCCAACTATATCAATAATCACCTTGAACACCAATGGACTAAAGACACCAGTTAGAAGACAGAGGTTGTCAGATTCAATTATATGTTGTCTCTAAGAAACTTACTTTAAATATAAAGACTTATATAGATTAAAAGTAAGTGGATGGAGAAAGATATACCAGGCTAGCACTAATCAGAAGAAAGCAGGAATAGTTACATTAACTTCAGACAGAGTAGACTTCAGAGCAAGGAAAGTCACCAGAGATAAAGGATATTATATAATAATAAAAGGGTCAATTCTCCAAGAAGACATAACAATCTTTAACATGTATGTGCCTAACAACAGAAAGTCAAATATGTGAGGCAAACACTAACAGAACTGCAAGAAAAAATAGATAAATTCACTACTGTAGTTAAAGACTTCAATACCCCACTATCAGAAATGGATGGATCCAGCAAGCAGAAAGTCAGTGAGGACACAGTTGAACTCAACAGCACCACCAATCAACTAGATAATGATGGGCATCTATAAACTACTTACCTAGCAACAGCAGAATACACATTCTTCTCAAGCTCACGTGAAAGATGCACAAAATCAGATCATATTCTGGGCCATAAAACATACCATTAAAAATTGAAAAGAAGAGAAACCATACAATGTCTGCTCTCAGACTACAATGGCATTAAAGTAGAAATTAATAACAGAACGATAGCTAGGAAATCCCAAAATACCTGGAGATTAAACAACACGCTTCTGGGAATTCCCTGGCGGTCCAGTGCTTAATACTCCACGCTATCACTGCTGAGGGCCCAGGTTCAATCTCTGGTCAGGGAACTTAAAAAACCCCACAAGCCACGAGGGGTGCCCAATAAATAAATAAATAAATAATAAAACAAAATAAACAACACACTTCTAAATAAAACAAGGGTCAAAGAAGAAATATCAATAGAAAATTTAAATCTTTTTAGTTAAATGAAAATGAAAACACAACTTATCAAAATTTATGGGATGCCGTAAAAGTAGGTCTTAGAGGGAAATATACAGCACTGAATGCACATTATTAGAAAAGAGGAAAGATCTAAAATCAATCATCTAAACTCCAACCTTAGGAAACTAGAAAAAGAAAAGCAAATCAACTCCAAAGTAAAAGAAAAGAAAAGAAATTAGAAATTAGAGCAGAAATCAATGAAACTGAAAACAGGAAATCAATAGAGGAAAGACAATGAGGCCAAAAGCTGGTTCTTTGAAAAGATCAATAAGCCTGCAGCAAGGCTAACTAAGGAAAACAGACAGGACACAAATTACCATCATCAGAAGTGAAAGAAGAGACATCACTACAGATCCCATAGACATTAAAAGGATAATCAAGGGACTTCCCTGGTGGTGCAGTGGTTAAGAATCCACCTGCCAATGCAGGGGACATGGGTTCAAGCCCTGGTCAGGGAATATCCCACATGCTGCGGAGCAACTAAGCCCATGCGCCACAACTACTGAGCCTGCGCTCTAGAGCCCGCGAGCCACACTACTGAAGCTTGCATGTCTAGAGCCCATGCTTCGCAACAAGAGAAGCCACCGGCAATGAGAAGCCCACGCACCGCAACCAAGAGTAGTCCCCACCCACCACAACTAAAGAAAGCCCACGCGCAGCAACAAAGACCCAACACAGCCAAAAATAAATAGATAAATAAATTAATTAATTTTAAAAAAAAAGGATAATCAAGGAATACCAGGAACAACTCTATACCCACAAATTTGATAACTGAGATGAAATGCACCAATTCCTTGAAAGATACACTCTTCCAAAACTCATGCAAGAAGAAACAGATCATCTGAATAGGCCTATAATCTCTAGTAAAGAATCTGGATCAATAATTAATGACCTTTCAAAACAGACACCACCAGGTCCAGGTGGGATTCATTGATGAATTCTACCAAATATTTAAGGAAGAAATTGTATCAATTCTCTACACTCTCTGTCAGAATATAGAAGCAGAGGGAATACTTCCTAACTCTTTCTATAAAACTAGCATTACCCTAATACCAAAACTAGATAACGACATTACAAGAAAACTACAAATTTCCCTCATAAACACAGATGTAAAATCATCAACAAAATATTAACAAATCAAATCCAACAATGTGTAAAAAGAATTATACACCATGACCAAGTGGGATTTATCCCAGGTATGCAAGAAAGTGTCTTAAAAGAACTCCAGGGCTTCCCTGGTGGTGCAGTGGTTGAGGGTCCACCTGCGGACGTGGGTTTGTGCCCCGGTCCGGGAAAATCCCACATGCCGCGGAGCGGCTGGGCCCATGAGCCATAGCCGCTGAGCCTGCGCGTCCGGAGCCTGTGCTCCTCAACAGGAGAGGCTGCGGCGGGGAGAGGCCCGAGGACCGCCAAAAAAAAAAAAAAAAAAAAAAAAAAACTCCAGTGCTTCCCAAAGACCATGTTTTACACCCTCTTAGAATTGGTCCTTAATCTTCACTTTGGCCTTTCTGCTTAGAAAACAACCTTATAAGGACTTCAGTCTTTTCTAGTTTGGACATTAATTGCTATTTATATTGTGGCATTTTGCTCTATATACTGTACAACACAATGGCTTTCTAATATTTTTAGAAATATTTTATACTCTGTCTCTAAATTTCAGATGTTTAAGCTCTTTTCTTATTAATGAGCAGATCTGCCTGTTTGACAATAAAGATTTCTACCAAAAAAAAAAACTCACCTTAGAGCCTTGTAAAATTTCACAGGTAAAGAAAAGGTCCTAATAGCTTCCAGAAAGGAGAATAATGTTACCAATAAAAAAACAAGAATTAGATTGGCATTAGCCTTGTCTTTTGCT